TGAATGTTTGTCTGTGATTTGTGCATATCGAGATCCTCGTGGGTTCCAACACCTTCATGCATCATGTTCACCATCACAGCTTGATTATCCGGGCTGAGGCTGAAGTACATAGACAACTCCTGTGGGTTCTTGCACAAACGCATTGCCACAACCATTTTATCTTTAGTTGACAGGAAATGCATGTTGGACAAGGATTCAAACACTGCATTCCTTTTCTTCTCAGCATCGTGCTCAAATCCAAGCCTGGATGCAACCACATTCAAGCTGTCTTTTGTATTCTGCGAGAATGATTCCATGATATCTAGGAATCTTTCCTCCCACTGGTTCAATGCCCTTCTTTTGCCACTTGTCTTTCTCTTCCCTGCCTTCGTACTGGACTCAGTCGCGTTACCAGAGGTGTTACCCATGCCAACGCGTGAGCTTACATCACTTACGTTAGTACGTAATGGAACATCCTCATGGTCAGAGTCCGATGTGTTCTGCTGCATGTCTTGAGCTGGCACTTCGTTTGCTGCCTCTTCAAAGCATTATGCATTTTCTCCCGTTGCTCTGTCCTTCCCAAAGATCTCCGCCCAATCGTGGATGTGTGGGAAGGACTTGTTCCTAAGAGATTTGGGATTAGGATCTACCTACCACATCGAAATACATCGAATGGCCACAATTGTCGATGGTGTTATATCTGTTTACCAAAATAATCTACGTGTTGTTTTATTAGATTCTTTACCTTTAACCATGCTATCCATACGTGATCTTCGCAGGAAAAAAGTTTTGGTAATCTCATTCCACCCAAAGCCCGAATTACCTTTTATGAGTGCGACACTCACATAATTCTTCCTCCAAACGTGTATCTTGGAGCTTATGTGAGGGTCCGCACGAAGAGTACAATTAGGAAACTTCAACTTCAATCTTCTCTCAATCTCAAAATTGTAACCCTGCCTAAAACCATTGTCTGCCCTCCAACCCTCGTTAACCATATCTTTGAAAATATCTATTAGGGTCTACTCCTCAGCAGGACTCCAAACACGGCGTCGTGTTGGTTGTGAAGAAGCCCTCCCATTTTCATGGCTACATGAATAGTCCATGGTGATACCTGTGTAGACAATGTTATTGCACGGAAGGATTGGTTTCATCATTATTCCTGAGATAATGACATCGCATATAAAAGAAATAAAGACATCATCTGGTAAACGAAGAAGGCTAAATATGGTAAAGTAATGCTTAATCAATACAGAACATATTATGTATCTCATCATATTCTGTCATCTAAAAAAGACCAATTATTTTTGCCATGCAAGGACAAAACCGTGACATAAGAAATGGTGCAGAGAAAAGAAAAAAGTACGTCTCTCACATGATTCTGTTTACAAAATTATTCAACTAAAAGACATTACGATCCCAATCGTTGAACATATCTTGTGCCAATTGGTCACGGAACTGTGTCGATTTTGGGCTAGCCTCCACCTGGTCTATCAAGTCATCTTCATTCGTAGTTGTGGACACTCCGTTAGCCGGTATCTCAGGGACTAGTGCTTCCATGGGATCATTAGCCATTGATGTGCGTATGAAATTGTGGAGGAGCGCACATGCCATAATAATGCGATTTTGTGTCCTAATGGTATAATATGAACAACTCCTAAGAATTGTCCATCGCATCTTCAAAATGCCAAACGCATGCTCAATCACATTTCTAGCCTTAGCATGGCGAAGGTTGTCCAATTCTCTAAAGTTTTGTGGCATGCGGTTTCCGACACCCCATTCCTGTAAGTGGTATCTGACACCCCTATATGGTGCTAAAAACCCAGGACCATTCGTATACCCACCATCCACCAAATAATAATTTTCTGTGTGACACATTTTGTAACAAAGATTAAGGCACTATGTGTGTTTTAATTTCTTTTGTTTATGTATGACATTATTATATAAGAGATAATACCATTTGAAACACGTAGACCATGCGTCCTAGTAACCGCATCGCGCAAGACACGACTATCCGCAGCTGACCCCTCCCAACCATTTACGCCAAGTACATTAACAGATACACTACCCTCACGGTTTCTATATCGTGCCCTATCAATAGAAGGAACTCGCACATCAATGTAGGTTCAATCTAGTGCTTCTAGACATCCCTAATGAAAAAGAAATAACGAAAAGTTATTACTTTTATGGATTAAACTAACAAAACAGTAAGACGTTGTGAAAAGTGTATTAGGTTACCTTGAACCATTTCCACCTTTCATCAACACAATCAGCTTCTACTGCCTCTGGATGCACGGCTAGGATCCGGTGAACTCGTATCACCGCATCAAGGACACGGTAAAAGTATTTGCTTATTGTCCTACCAGATCTTACAAAATAAAGCTTCAAATGACATTTTTCTTATGATGAGCTAGGACTGAGAGAAAAATTGCAACTTGCTCTCTGGGTGCAACATTTCTGGATGGACGAAGTCCGCCAGAACTTTCAAGAAGGTAACATAGACGACCGAATGAGTTACGGTCCATACGGAGGTTCTCGACACAAGTTGTGTCGCTTACGTCAACCAATTTTCGCATGTAATTGAGCTGACGGGGGAGTCTATCGCTAAATCAGAATAAAAGAACATGCTCACTGTCAGAACGTTGACGTTTTCGTCGAGGACGGATGAATTTCATATAAAAATAAACAGATAGTAGCAAAAAAACGTGAACACTACTGATAGCCTCTTCTAATATAACAACAACCGCTATTTCTTCTGCAACGTTATCCATCTACAATAACATGAAGAACCTCATTCCCCTTATTTTGTCTTTCCCCTCACTTCAATTATACAAACTGAAATATTTATCGTTTGGACGAACCATACAATAGGTCCTACACATTCTTAGAAGATACACAACAATGACATTGCAAAACAAACAATCAAATCACAATGAAGAACACAACACCTTCAAACAAACAAATGATATACCCATGACATGAAACATGTAAGAGAATTTACCTAAAAATGGAACCGGTGAACATAAATTACCTGAAAATGGCACAACAAGTCTATCAGATATGGCCCAGTTGTTATTTTTATTACCATTCAAACTGAAACAACAATGAAACACAGACAAGTCATTTCAAATAAAACAACACTAAACCCTTCAAAGAAAAAATATATATATATATATGTATATTTGTAACAAGAAATTAGTCAGAAAGAGCACAAGTGTATCTCATGTAAGAGTCTTAAAATACGAGATATTTCATGCTCAAATGCAGGAACACCACATGCAAACAATAAAGATATGTGCATATCAATTTCAAGAATACAGCACCTTCAATCAAACAAATGATAAAATCATAACAGGAAACATATAAGACTGACATGATTCAAGAATACAGCACCTGCAAACAAACAATGAGATACTCATATTATAAAAGTATGGCCCAACTCTTATTGTTATTAGCAGACATTAAAAAAAAATTAAAACCAGACAAGCCTTTCAAATTGAACAAACCAACCACCTAAAAAAAATAAACAAATTAAAAAAAATGTAAAGTTCTACTACTTAAGACCAAGGCATGTCAAACTCAAGAACACAACAACTACTTTGAAATACCAGAATGCATTTTTATAGGTAAAAGTCAGGTTTATCAATGCATACAGTAATACAACAATCACAAACTTCGGCATGTGTGATTGCTTTGATAGTTTTGTGAAGACTTTTTTTTTTATTAAGTATACTTTTTAAGTTATCTGAAATGTGTTTCTACTTCTTGGTAGTGATGTAGTTCCAAATCCATTTCAGTTTAGAGCCTATGCACTTGTTATATCTGGTACAACTCTGACTGCTGCTTTTGGACATGGCAGAAAAACAACTAACAAGTAAAAAAGAACAACTAAACCAACACAAACTACAATAAACAACAACAACAACAAAAGAAAGGAAACTAAAATGAAGGACATGCCAGAAAAGCAACTAACAATTACAAAAAACAACAAAACCAACAAAAATCTACACTACACAACAACAACAAAAGGAAAGAAACTTAAATGAAAGGACATCGCAGAAAAGCAACGAACTACTAAAAGAACAACTAAACCCATAGGAACTACACCACACATGTAGTTGTACAGAAAACCTATATTACTGACATAAAACTTGATAGTTGTTCAGAAGTTCTGATAGCAAGTATAATAAAGAACAAAGCTTAGGCATATTTCAACACGGGCTCCAACTCGGGCATATTTCATGTGCAAATTAGGCATGTCTATACATGACCAAGTGCAGAAAAAAATAAGGGAGACCATAACCTTACAAAGTCAACTTTTTAATTTCAAGAAATTATAAATCTATGAATTCCGTATAACCTTACTAATGAACTATCATTTACATAGATCAGACAATATCAAATTTCATTATTAAGTAATGCAACAATAAACACATATACACAGTCACATTAAATACAACATACATTGCCACATTGTATACCTAAATTTCAAAAGATGTGAAATCATCAAAAAGTATATATAACAGTAGGTAAAGGTAAATAAATGATATCCAACCAAATTACTTCGGCGAATAACAAATTATAGTGGCGGGGATACCTTGTGCAAAAATCTTCGAGCAACAAGAAGCAAATGACACCTGCGATATTAGCAATATTACAATACAAATATTAGCAAGATTACAACAGTGCGTGAAAAAAAAAATAAAAAAATGAAGAACACAGTTCTAAGGGTTCGTGTACGGGCAACGATAGGAACTACCAGAAATAGGCCGGCCGGAGACGAAGCAGTGGAAACCTAAAGATGGTGACAATAAAACAAATTAGATTTAAATCCAAATTAAAAAAATAAATTAAAAATCTGATGAACATCAAGTTGGGCGGACTTACCTAGTGTTTGTAGAGAGTCGGTCGAGAAGGAGAGAGATCTGAAATTTTCAGACAGCAAATTTGATTATATACGGGTATGTTAGTAATTTATGTGACATACAGGGGTATAATAGAGATTTGTTACCCACCTTTTTGGACAAAATGGAAATGATACGGGATGGATAAAAAATCCGCCCATCTCAGGCGGATAAAACAATACTGCCAGCTCAAATTTAAGTGGCGGGACCCACATGCCACACACCATACACATCATCAAAAATCCGAATCCATATAAAGGCTGGTAAACAAATGATAAGGTTGGTTAACCAACCTTATCATATCATATCCGTCCTGGTAAACGAGGCCTAAGTAAGATAAGAGTACCCACAATGCTTTGAGTCTCTTACAAAAAAATAAAGTGCCATGTAAGAAATAGACTAGTCTATAAAAAAAAGTAGGCATGGTCTAGCTTATGTGGCACTAAAAAAAAGACTAAGTCCACTCTTTGATCTATTTTGGACTCAAGTGCAAATTACCTAGTCATTAATTGTTCACAATTTTCTTTTTTTTTTTTAATAGGCAAAACATATTTTTTTTTGTATGCATTTATTAATACTATATTTTTATTGGTTGTTTAGTATTCTAGACTTAGTACTTTTTTGTTTTGCATCAGATATATTTTGGATTTTTTAGCTTAGGTTTGTCCATGTCATAATGGACTTAAGTCTGTTTATTTGCCACATATGCAAAAAGAGACCCAAAGCATTGTGGTTGCTCTAAGAGAGATATATAAAAAGGTTTGATTATTTTTTAAATTCTAACTATTTTCCTCCAAAACAATTGTTGTTTACTAATTTTGGAAACTATTTAAACATTTTATGTTATGTTTTAAAGATACAATAGGTAATTGCGTATGATTGATTAATGTAATAAATCACATAAAAATTTATTTTGTATTTCTTTTTAATATAAACATCCCAGATTGGGATGGGGGGTTGAGGCTACACCCCCGACCTGTGAATATAATGGCCCAGAAGGCCTAAAAAATCATCAGTCTACATCCAAGTCGAAAGTACAAAGAGCGACATCAAAAGCAGAAAAAATAAAAATAAAAATAAAATAAAAACAAGGGTCACAAAATATCCAAAGAGGAGCTAAAATGAAATCCTCAGAAAGTGTCGTCCTGATCAGAGTGACCTGGCATGGAGTCCAAAATGTCAAATCTAGTCAGGGTCGGGTGGTGGCGGTCGACCGAATCTGAAGGATGGGTACTCTAACTGGTCCATCCGAATGAGTGTCCGAAGCCGGAGGGAAATGTCCTCAAGTAGAAGGGTGCGTCTCTGGGGTAAGGATGCCCCCGTGCTAGCAAGGAAATCAGCGGGCCGTTTCTCCTCCCGGAAAATATGTGAGACCTGGTAATGGATCGAGTGGAGGGTGTCTCTGATACGCATAAGAGAATGCTGGATCTGCCATGAGCCCTGGTGGCCATATTTCAAAAGTGTGATGACAGCTGCAGCATCCATCTCGATCCAGACATGAGAGGAGATCGAGGCGGCAATCTCAAGACCAATCTGGAGCGCCTGAATTTCTGCATCATAACTCGAGGAGGCCCGGAGTGGCCCATGGAAGGCAGAGATGAGTGTCCCACCATGATCCCTAATCAGGCCCCCTCCTCCTGCAGCTCCAGTATGTCTGTCGAAAGCGCCATCAGTGTTTAGCTTAACCCAAGGGGCCTTGGGTTTCAGCCAAACAACGGTCCTAGGACGTGGGTGCTGGATAGGTAAAGGAGGTAGTGGCCTCAAACGGTGGGGCAGTGTACACCCTGTCCAGTCTCTCGTCGTGAGTCTACCTAGAGCGGTGAGGAGAGAGAGGTGTCTGTCAACCTACAAAATAATGTGAGCACAAGAAAATATAATATCCCTATGCTTCGCATTATTCCTTTCTGTCCAGGTGGCCCAAAGGATCAGATAAGGAATAAGGAAGCCCACGTGCCTACTGT